TAAACCTCCTGCCTCAGCCTCTAAAGTTGGAGCAGCTGGGAGTACAGGAGTGCATGACTACACCTGGCTCATTCCTCACCCTCTGAATAGCATCCATTTAGAAAACAGATTATCTCTTCAACCCTTATCTAGGACTTTTCCTTCTGGGCAGAGAACAGAGTAACTGACAAAGTTGAGGACAGCACTGGGTTTCTATGAGATCCTTCAGTGCACTCGCACACCATTGTGTGTCTCCTGTGCCTCCTTCTACCTTATCTTGGCTGCAATGCTTTTTGGTAGGATCATGGAGGGAAAATACTATATTAGATGAGCAGTGGATAGCTGTGTTCTTGGCTATTTCTTCTGCCTATTCCCCAAGATGAAAACTTTTCTCTCCCCATTCAGTGTCTTCATCTTCCTCACTCAATGGTGTTGAATGTACTGCCTGCTACAGTGAGAAAGCCCAGTCGTGCTCCTCAGTTACTACCCTAAAGTGCACAGGGAAGGAGACAAAGTGCATTGAGGTTACCGGCACCTCCAGCATAGGTATGAGCATTTCCTCTAACGGTTTTTTTTATGTACATACCCTTCGTTTTTTCTTCTTATCATTTAAGAAAACAATTGGTACTCTTCAAGGGTGCAGTGCACCACTGTTTACTTCTGTATACTCGAGCTTAGCTGCTGAAAAATAGCAAAAATTCATTACATGTCACTTTCTGCAGGTCTATCTAGAATCTGAGCCCAGCACTGTCGCTGGTTCTGGCTCAAAGTGTCTTCCTGGGCTGTGTGAGTTGAAGGCAGGCTATGGTCCTTCAGATGCTCAGGGTGGGTGTCTCCTGGGACTGTATCAGTTGTCATCCCAGGCTGTGGTCCTTCAGATGAAGGATCTGCTTTCTGGTTCACTCATAATTTTGGTGGTGTCAATTCCTCTTCATGCAGTGGCCTCGTGTCATATCAGCTGACTTCCCTACAAGCTAATGATGAGACAAAGAGGCACCAACTGATAAAGGGAGCTATAGATTTTAATAGTCTAATCTCAGAAGTGACATGACATTCTGTTCCTTTTTTAAAAATATTTTAAATTAAAACTTTAATTGTAAAAAACTTACAAATAAAAAACCATCATGTAGTGAGATTAGCCAGATCCAAACATTACACATCTCTATGAACTTTGTCTATACAGTTAGGGTTGTCATTTCTGAATCTATGAGGACTTAGATTGACTTTTATACTTTCACCATCAACTATAGCTATATGAGCTTAGCCACCATATGCACTTAGCCACCATATTCGTGCAACTCACACACACACACACACACACACACACACACACACACACACACACACACACACCAAGCAAGCAAACAAACAAAGCAACAACAACAAATCCAGGACAGAATCAAAACTTGAAAAAGCAATTCGCTACATATCCTGTCATGACTCTTGTGTCCATTACCTGTATCCCGTCCTTTCTTATCACCTAATGCTATAGACCCCTCTCAAGAGTCTTATCTCGTCCCTCTTATCCACCCATATCTTGTTGACCCCACAGACCAATCCTGATTGGACACGAGTGGGTCTTACTCATATAAGGCCACTCTGTCAGTAGCTGGAGTGAGTTGGGAGGGTTCACCTTAGAAGGTGTTTTCCACACAGAGGAAATGTGGAGAAATGAGAGAAGAAGGAAAATACTAATTCCTGGATTTTTCTTTAGCAACAGGATCTTCTTTAACGCTGTATGGGAAGGGCTGTGCAACTGAAAATGCCTGCGATCTGCAACAGAATGTCTTCAATGGCATACAAATCAAAACCACATGCATCTCACCTGTTTCAAACAATGGGAACCCTACCCTGCAATTAATTTCATCAGCTCCCATTGTTCTGCTTCTGCTGAAAGTCTTGCTTTGATCAT